ATCAGATCTCACTGGACCTGGCTATATGGGCCACTGTGAGCTTCCTGACATAGGTGTGGAAACTGGAGTCTCTACAAGAGCAATACACACTCAAATGCTAATTCATCTCTCTGGCCCCTGACAGGAAACTCCATGTGTTTCTGTTCATGACAAATACTACCAACAAAAAGAAAATGCATGACAAAGTTTTAGATATACAAAAATGTTCAACAGCATAAACAATCTGTTTCTAAGTTGATACAACGCGTGCAAACACTAAATACACGGAAGGTGGCGTGTACTCAACGAGAAATACTTTATTACAACAACATGCAGGATCTGAAATTCAGCCTTAAATATTGGCACTGCATACAGAAATGACATTGTTTTACTCAGTGTCAGAACTCTTTCACTAGCTGTCATGTCTGTTGACCCATAATGAGCAAGTTCTACTGGCTTTTGATGGATTCTCTTTGTCTGAATTTAAGTATTTCCATTTGTGTCTATGAGCCCCAAATCACAATTTGTTAAAGTGAAATGTTTTGTGATTTTATATTTTCGAATATCAGAAATTTTACACATTTACTCATCTAATGCCAAGAATTCCACAGAGCTATTTTTAAAGAATTTAAATTAACATTATTCAGTTTGCTATATGAGAAATGTTGAGGTATTTATACTTTGACAACTGAAAAGGAAAATTAAATGCTAAAAATAGAAATCATACTTTGATATTCTGCTGTAAAATAATCTATGTGAAAAAGAGGTTTCCCTACCCATCCTTTCTGAAGGTCATAAATACTGGATTTAAATATAGATTGTATCTGGATACAATTAGGAAGATCATTCTTAGCTAACATGTCTGTATTTCAACAGAAGAGTAATAATATTTCAAATTGAGAAATTCATATGTCTTCCTTACAAGCTGGTTGATATACTAGGGTACAGCTCATGGCATAGCACTTGCTAGCACACAAAAGGTCCTGGGTTCCATTAACAGCATACAGTGTGGATATGAGTAAATATAATGTTCTTATGCATGCAAATAAGGCACAAAATAAATTATGGCAACATAAGAACTACAAGCTGCAAAGTCTTCAGCATCAACCACTCCCATGTGCTACTGGAGACTAACTAACCCAGATCCAGGACTTAAGCAGTTGCCTCTTTGATGTAATAACCCAAAGCTAGTCATTATCAAAGGAGGCCTACCAGACACCAACCTCTTGTCCTGTCTGTGTCACCAGTACAGAGCCTCTATGTGAAAACAGTGGGAATTTTTTTCTATTATAGTTTTGCTTTTTGTTGTATAAACAATTTTTCAAAATGGGGAGGGGCACAGAGAGAGAAGAGGGAAGGATCCTTGTACCAAACTCCCAAGGATTAAGAACACTTTCATTGTAAGAGTTCTGTCTTAGCTTTCGGGATGTTTAAGAAGCAAACACTTTTGAGATTTCTTAGTCCTTAAGGAGAACTATGGATCCACCATCAAGGACAATTGCCACCCACACATACACTCGGAGTTTTGCACAGAAATGCTAGCTAGCTTCAAAGTCTGGAGAGCTCATTAGTGTCTTCTTGGTTTCATTTTCATTGGAGTTAAGAACAAGAAGAACTCTAGCAAAAAGATAAATGCAAAGATAGTGTGACTACAATTTGCTTTCCTTTTTGTGTTGTTAATATTAACAGAGACAATATAGGTTTCTGGAATTATCTTCTATGTACTCTTTTTCCAGCTGTTATGATTTACTTAGGAATTAAATAAGAAGTAAAATTACACAGACACAAGCAATCGCATTGTGATAAGAGGTGATTGAGTGATTTAATGTGTTATTATATGGGGAAGTGATTGAATGTATTAGTACATGGTGAAAGTTAGTACTTCAAAGTCATTGCATGCTGCACTTTCTTGGGTCTGAAGTATAGTTAAAATTTAGTTCAAAACAATCTAGGGAGGCAGAGGCAGGCAGATCTCTGTGAGTTGGAGATCAGCCTGGTCTACAAGACCTAGTTCCAGGACGCCAAAGCCACAGAGAAACCCTGTCTCAAAAAAACCAAAAAAAAAAAAAAAAAACCAAACACACAAAAAACAACAAAACATTCTAGGAACTGTGGACACAGTTCAGTTGGTAGAGAGTTTTATAATATGCAAAACACTCTGAGTTCCATTCCAGCACTTCATAAACTATTCATGTGGTACTGCACACCTGTAATCCCAGCACTCAGGAAGTAGATGCAGGAGGATCAGGGGTTCAAGGTTATTCCTGGGTGCTCAGAGAGTTCAAAGCCAGCCCGGGCTACATAAGCCCTATCTCAAAAACTTTGTTTCAGCCAGGCAGTGGGGATGCACACCTTTAATCTCAGTACTTGTTAGGGCAGAGACAGGTGGATCTCTGTGAGTTCCAGAACAGGCTCCAAAGCTACAGAGAAACCCTGTCTCGGAAAATTTTTTTTTCATTATTATATTTATTCCATAAAATTATAAATCACTATTTTAAGATTCCTGTTTTTTTTTAAAATCTATTGTGTGTAGGTCTGGGTATATATATGTGGGTGCCCTAGGAGGTCAGAAGAAGGTGTTGGATACCCTGATGCTAGAGTAAGAGGCAGTTGTGAATACATGATGTAGGTGGCTCAGAACCAAATCTGGTCCTCTGCAAGTGCAGTGCATGCTCATAACCACCAAACCACCTCCTCATCCCCATCAATTACTTTCTTTCAAGCATTGAACATTACTTCTATCAATTCTCTATTTTTCTTCCTAGAACTGTCCTATAATGAGGAAAAGGTTGTGACAATGAGGGTTTGGTTTCTCGTTCTAAAATTCTACTCAGCAGTTGAGTCAGGCAGTCCTTACAAATGCTACACAGACAAAAAAAGAATAATACATAGGTTACTGTGCTTTTCAATGTGACTGCAAATACCCAGAGCTAACACAACCGTTTCTGTAGACAGTGGCCGCAGGAATTTCAAACAGAACTTCAATCCCTGAGAATAACAGATACTGGCTCTCAAGTTTCACAGAAACCCACTCTCTCTGAGCAGTGCTGTTTTAAAATATGCTCGTGTTTTAATTGGGTAATCTTGGGCAGATTTACTTGAACTATAAATAAGCAAACATCATCTCTTAGTGAATAAAAATTAAGGTTAGAAGAGGGAAATTCGGAAGCACTGGCTTTAATTTCAGCACTGGGGAAGTTGAGACAGAAAGCTCACCAGGTTGATGCTACACTGGGACTCACTGCAAGACCTTGTCTCAAAAACCCAAGAACCAGGAGTTCTAGAAGAGACAGGGGAGGGGAAAGAAGGAAGAGAAGAAAGAGTGGGAGGGGCCAGTAAGCTCGCTTCTCTCTCTCTCTTGTTTTGCAGTGCTGGGACTGGAAGCCCAAGCTGTGCTGGGCTAACGCTCTACCACAGTAATGCTCCCCGAGCATCGGAATAGAACTCAAGAGGTAAAACAAAATCAACCAAACAAACAAACAAATTAAGATGATCATTTGGTAAAGATACCTCTTGGAATGAATACTTACCAGATGCAAATATTCAAATACTAACATAAAAATGAAATGATGTTAAACAATGGACAAAAGCCTTCATTACAATTCATGTTCACGCCAACACCCTCCCTGCACACCCACACACACTCAAATCCACACACACCTATACCAAGTTGAGAGAGCAACTAAAAAGCTATCCCTTCTTCATAGTTCTTTAAAGAAACACACGGTGAGTTAGGTTAGTTCCAAAATAAGTGAAAATTCCCAATTACTTCAAATGATCTGTTTCCAAGTTTCCTATAGTTCAAAGCTGAGTACATTTTCAAATTTTAGTGCAGTCTCCTTTCCCTCACTTGTTTAGTGGCATGTTTCATCTAGCAAGCACCGAATATACTACGACTGTGCAAGCCTCTATCCAGTATCCAGGTTCAGTTCCTTGAAGCTGGAAGAGCTAACAAGGAAAAGTTACCACACTTAGAAACAATGCGCATTGAACCTTAGGCCATCTGACATTGCAGAGCTCCACATGTATCACAAGAGTGTCTTCCCCCACCCAGACACAGCAAAAGCAAGCAGGCTTTTGATTCAGTGGTACATGCCCACCCTGGCTTGCTGTGAGATTTACACTTAGCTGTCGCTTGGCTTTCTTACTATGTGATTCCTGAGCTGTATGTGCCTGCAAACTAAAGGAAATAACAGGAGATGTGAAAAATGCAACAATACTAAAAACAGATGTTGGTATAAAATTTCAGGGCCATTTATTTGTTCATTTCACTTTTTAACATGCAATCTCTATTTTTTTTAAAGGGGGGAGTCTGCTTTTTTCTCTCTCTCTTAAAATGCCCAGACACATAGAACATTTAGAGAGATGAAGTGTATAAGATGGAGACCTGAGAGGGTGAAAAACAGGAAATAAAGGGTGAAGGAAGGATCAAGTAAAAAAAAAAAAAAGAAATGTTCAAGCCCTCTCTTTCTCGGTAGTTCTACTAAGTCCTTCTTATTCTCATTTTGGTCTGTCAACTCTTTGCAGATGGGATCAAGTTCCCAGTTGTGAATTGTAGATAAGGAATTACGAAGCACAGTTGTTCTCAGACACAAATGCTTTTGTCCCTAATTTTTACTGAGAAATATTTACCCCAAACATCCTGGCTTAGGAGAAAACAAACAAACAAACAAAGGAAACAAAATAAAAAAAAAAAACCCAGAGCTGTACTGTAGGCTCCAATTATTCAGTCCTTAAGAGTGGAAGTCACTGATGACTGTCAGGAAGTTGAGTCACACATCACCATCAACAACTTACCATACTTTTTTTTTTTTTTTCTTGCAGAGATTCACATTACTATCCCTACTGTGAATTACTTCTTTGTTGGGTTTCTGAGAAATGATGGCCCAAGAGCTACTGTAGGCTAATATGACCCCTCCTCCCGTAGCACTTCCCCAGAGCACCTCCCTGGAGCACCTGCTTTAACAGTCAAAAACCAACAGCAGGATCAGGTTTCCGTGCATTCTTATTAACAAACTTACATGATTTCCTGTTGGAAAGTTTCAGAGGCTGGACTACTATTTCTGGTCGTCTCAGAGCCAATCTCCTGGGGGAAGAAAAGGTCAATGGGCCTATCAGTTTTCAGCACAGGTTCAAGGTTAACACAGCACCAAAATATAAAATCCATAAGGAAGATCTTGAAAGAGCACAAGACTATCTGTTCAAATCAACTAAATCCGGTACTTTTCAAGTTTTAAAGTTACCCCCCTTTCCTGAAATGACTGTGCTCGCCCTGTAGTACACACTCAGATAGCAATGTGCTAGTGTCTGCCTGTTTCACAACAACAACCCATGAGGACCTGGTACTGTCATAGACAAACTAGAACTCCAAATCCAAACCCAAGGGATAATAGATTCACAGGCAGGGTCTGAGGCTCATTGCATCATAACTGTGCTAGAATGATATTCTGCAGCGAATGGAAAGTCATTTGAAGAAAGGTCACCATGCTGTGCTAGCGGCTCACCGTTCCTGGAAGTGCTTGGAGGGAATCAGTCCTGCTCTGGGGTTGGCATCGCCCTCATGCTTTGCCTGCCACCATGTCACATCATCTTGGCTCATGATTTGAAGAATGTCTCCCTTTCGGAAAGACAGCCCCGCCTCCTTACAAGGGATAGCCTTGTCCTCCTTTGGGTCATAGTCAAAAAGGGCTTTGATAAACACCTGGATAGGAAGGATAAATGGGAGAGGTGAAGCTGTCTGCATTCTTGCAACTTAGACATAAGGAATGGTCATTTTCAAAGAGGATATTATTGTTGAAAAAATAAGGTTAAGTCCCACACCAAAAACAGTATTTTAGAGACATACCTTGCCTTCCTTGGAAGCTGTCTCCTCTTTGGTGCTGGGTATTATCTTAAATGTAATTGCTCCCTGGGACTGACTCTGGGATTAAAGAAAGGGTCATTAGAGAGCTGGAGGCAAGAGGAATGTAAAACAGACAGGTAGAGAGCTAAGCACAGCTAGTAATGCACAGCATTCTACTGGGACAAAACCAGAAAAGTATGTCTGTAGAAGTTCCAGAAACACGAGAAGTTCCAGAAAACACAGTATGTGAGGTCATCTGAAGACCACTTTTACACTTTTACATCCTGAGCACTTAAGGTATCAGGACATTGACTGCCATCCACGTCAAGTTATATCAAAACAGAAACACAATACAAACAAGGCTTGGAAGGAGGACAAGAGTCAATGCCTAGAGCACATAGCACAAAGTTGAGATCCTAGCATTTAAGTGTTGGTATCCATATTTGGTGAAACAAAAAGCTGATACCAGATGCTGTTACTTCTGTGGTTATGAATATGGGATTCATTTGGCAGCAATGTGCATCAGAAAAAGTAACTGGTAGTGGGATAAACATGACGTACAACAAGTCCATTGAAAGTTTAAAGACAGACAGAATGTCTACTCAAGTTTAACTAAAACCGTAATTCCATGACCCATAGACACTTGCTCATCATCTCAGACCTCTAGAGGTACTCGGGGAACTGTCTATAGCTGTAGGTTTGCATTTTCACATATATAGGGGCAGTCTTCATTTTACCCCTACACCTGAACTTAAGACTTAGCAGTTCCCATTCCTAAAACAATTTCACTCAAGTTTTAGCGCTAATGAGAGGGGGCAGAGGCAAGAGCATCACCAATAGCACTGCAGAGGCCACCTGTTCACCCTGACCTGAAATCCTGCATAAATTATAACCTCATTCGACCCTCAAAACACATTAGCAAATCGTTACTTCTTCCTACATACATGTAAATGGAAATCTTGAAGCTACATGGACAAAAGTGTTTCTATGAATGTGTACACCACCCTGAGTCTGGAGGGCTGAATCCAAATCAGACTGAGAAACCTGAAGTGCAGTGATTTGATTTTCGTTGAGATTTATAATAAAGAGACAGCTTACCAAAATCTGTATGATTTCCTCAGGCCTCTTGTCTTCCACTGGGATCCCATTCACTTCTCTCAGCTCGTCACCCACATGAATAAGACCTGATAATTACAAAACCCGGTAAGTCAGCAGTGTCACAAAGTGACACTGTGATCTGTGACTGTTCCCAACCTTCAAGTGTCAGTCATTCCCCAAAGCGACTTAAGTATCAGAAAAGAGACCTTCTTTCACAACTCACATGCTTCGATTCTGCAGTTCTCTGATAATGGATATAGCAAATCAGACAACAGTATCTTGGTCTCTATCTAGAAATGTACATTATTGATGCCTTTAGAAAATAATTCATGTTTATTATTTACTTGTTACTTTTTCTTTGGTGTGAGTATGTACATGCCACGTGTGTCATGTGTGCAAGTATGTTTAAAGGCCAGTGGTCAAATGTGGCACCATTCCTCAAGTGTGAACTACCTTGTTGGAGAAGAGTCTCCTACTGGAGTGGAGTGTACCAAGATCTGGGTACACTGGTTGACCTGTGGACTCTACCTCCTCAGAACTGTGATGATAAGCACATACTACCACATTTGGCTTTTATTGTGGATGCTGTGGATTGGTTCTCACACTTGTACAGCACTTTTCCAACTGAGCTATTCCCCCAGCATCTAACATGACTGTAAATTTATTTTTAAAATTGTATGCTCTTAGTAGCATGTATTTTTCACATCAGAAACACTAAAATGGGTCATAATATAACTCTGCAGGCTGGGTAGTACCTCTGTGCTATAACACTTGACTAGCACAGCCAAGGCCATATGGGTGGGGGTGGGAAGGAATCAAGAATCTTCGGAAACCTGTGTAAGGTAAGACCACAGAGGGGGATTCATCTATCATGTATTTGTCTGGTGTCCACATTTCAACACAGTGAAAAATGTCTTGTTTCTGGTTCTCTTATATTGTATCAAAAGACAGTTAACCACATAATTACTCACTGGAACTGTTACTCACAGAACACAACACAATTTGTCGGTATTCAATGAATAAAGAGGCTCTCACCACTTCTATCTGCAGCTCCTCCCCGCATGATCCGGGCCACAATGATTGCCCCTGTCTGTTCGTCTTTCTTAATGGTAGCACCCTTTCAAAGCAAAAAAGGTGGGAGAGGAAAAAAGCATTTGTGGGCAGATTTTTCAAACTGTGTCATAAGATAGAGATGTAAAATAACTTTTATCTGGAAAAAACAGAAACTACTACAAAGACAAAAAACAAGGCAGGAGGAACAGATATGTCAACTGTCCTTTGGATGGCCCCTACACTGTACCAAAATTCAGGCTATATAGCATCTAGTGTTTCAGCACAACACAATTTAAAGATTGGTGAAATCTTGTATCTTCCAATTCGTGCAACATATTTTTTTTCTTACACTATCTACCTTGTATTGTTTTACTTTCGGAAAACTTACTCATTTCATTTTATCAGTATAATATCACATAATGGGGGCTGGAGAGACAGTTCAGTGGTTAAGAGCATGGGCTACTATTCACGAGGACCCAGGCTCAATTCCCAGAATCCATATAGCAGTTCACAACTAGCAGTACCTCTAGTCACAGGGAATCAATGCATAAGCACAGATGTGTTACACACACACAACACACACATACACACCCCACACACACACACACGGGGGGGGGGGGGGAGACATACGTACATATGGAGGGAGGCTGGAAGGGAGGGAGGAAGGGGCAAAATATCCCTTTGGATAATCTAGAAGGTTTTCTGCCTGAGATCCATGGCAGAATCATGGAAAGTCCACCCAGGTTCTGACAATTAGGACAGGACTTCTTGGTTGCAAATGGGGCAATATTCCCCGAGTCCCAGGTCCCTTGATGTGGTGGTCCATCACCACAGGAATTCCAGTGCCAAAACAAACAGTTCTATTTATATTGTGAAATGTTAGGTGTCAGGCTAATTTCTCTTCATTATTTTTAAAATAAATCAGCTTTCCAGAACAGCCTAAAGCACTATTTTTCAACTGCATCATTTAATTTCCAACCAGCCCCACCTGGCTACATGTTAAATTTCCTCTTACAAATGTTAGTAGGTTGTATTTTCAAAGTTATTACTATTAAAAAGCAATAGGATGCTATTATTATTTTACTTGGAGCTTTGTTAGTTACTCTAAGTCATATTCTCTGGATGTAAATGTCCCATTTGTTTTAAGACATTGGGACCCAGAAGCAGCATATCTCAAAGACAACTGTGAGTGTTGTAAGCCCATCCCATTGAGCTCCCCATGAGATCTCCTCACATCTGAAGGAAGAGGCAGACCAGACTCACCAGGGGTTCTCTGTTCTTGACCAGGCGGATTATTTTCACTGAGTCTTCCTCATCATCGATATCATCAGGCATAGGAGGCAATACAGGATCGTAACTCTTTTGAGCCACAGTATCATGTACTGACAACAAAGCCTGTAAAACCAACGGGACATAAGGAATTAATCAGATATGAAACCCTAAGTTCACTGATGTACAAATAAAAGTCAAATGTTGTGGGATAATCTTTTTGTACACTGTGAAGATGTGTCTTTGACAAGGCACATTCTAATTGGTTTGATAATGACATGAATGATCAATAGCTAGACAGGAAAGGATAGACAGGACTTGTGGGGAGAGACAGGAACTCAGGGTTAGAATCTAGGCAGCAGGACAAGCCAGCAAGACATGGAGCAAGTCAGATGTACCAAATGGAGGACAGACGAAAAGCTATCTAGCAGAACACAGAATAACAGAAATTGACAGAAACAGGCAGAACACAGATTAATAGAAATCCCCAAATAATAGCATGGAGACTTCTTATTAATTATGAAAACTAGGCCTTAGCTTGGACTTATTCCCAACTAGCTCTTATAAACTAAATTAGCCTGTTTCTTTTAATCAGAAAGCATCTTGGCAAAGACACATCATCAGTGTACAAAAGGATTATCCCACAACAGCCAAAATAGCATTACCCTGTTGGAATACTAATGGTAGGTAAGGAAACCATTTGAAGCATTGGCTTAGGCAGTGGGGGTGAGGCGAGTCCTGTGGGATTCCAGAAGGCAGACCTACTCAGGTGCACCTACGCCTCCTCTTCCAGTACCACTGACATGACAATATGCATCAAATTTCTTCTAACCTGTATATTCTCTAGTAATCTCAACATGGTAACAGTTGAGGCAAAGGTCAGGGATATTACTTTTGGAGGAAAAAAAATGAGGATACTGACACATTGCCAATAAGCCAACAGAAGCTTGAGATACTGCACATTTTTATTTCATTTATAAAAACGTTCATATGTGTGTAACATAATTGTACACATGTTTGGGCATACGTGTGTGAGTGCATATGGGTCATGGGTACACCTGTATGTATGTGGAGGCCTAACGTTAATATGATGAGTCTTCCTTCATCTCTCTCTTCCATAAGTGTAGAGGGAGGGCTTCTTAATGTTTTAGCTAGTCTGGCTAGCCAGCTTCCTGGGGGCTCTCTTCTCAACCTCCCTTGGGATGGGATTATACAGGGATGCCATACCTTTTACAACATTTTTGATACAAACTCTGGTCCTCACACTCATGAAACAACTGAGCCATGGGTTTTTTAAGATATTTTTTTTTCCTGTGCTGAGGCTGTGACTCAGTGCTTGCTTAGATGAACCATTGTATAAACCAGGTTTGGTGGTACATGTCTATAATTCCAGCACCCAGGATGTGGGGGAAGGAAAATCAGACATTCAATACATATATAATACATATATAATGTCCTCTCTCTCCTTCATGTGCACATATGTGTATATATGTATGTGTGTATTCTCATCCACATTCAAGCATTCATATATATATATATATATATATATATATATATATATATATATAGATATCAAGTGTCTATTTTTTCTCATATACATATGTAAATTTTCTTCCTGTCAATGTGATAATTCATTGGCTTCTGACAATTTTTAGTGTATTAGGTATCTATATATAAAGGACTAAAAGTATTTTATAATATTTTCTCATATAGACCAAAGAGGAGAGAAAATGCTGGAACTTTACATTTCCTAGTTCAGATTAATGCATTTGAGATGTCCCACTCACTTACTGCACTACCCACACCTGACTCTAGCTGGAGGCCTAGAGATCATGCTCTCCCTCTCCTCTCCTCTCCAGGCCCAGCATCCACCATATAGCTTACTAAACATACTTCCCAAATATATTTAAAACATATTGTCATCTTTCTAGTCATTTCCATGTCTAAATTTCAACAGCATTTTGTAGATTTCAAGTTCATCATGCTCACAGCTTTGCATTAGGAATATTGTTGCATGGCAATATTTTGTAGTTTGGACAATGAAAAGTCATTTGGCATTCCCTTTTCCTATCTTCACCAAGGTGATTTTATTCTTCGACATACAGACTCTCCTCTCAAAAGGCAGAACTTAAATAAAAACTGTGTTTCTATGTGCCATTACCACCAGTTACAGCTGATAGTTTTACCTGTTGCCCAGAAGCATCTGCAGGAAATTGAACACCAGGCCTGTAATGTGCCACTACTGTGGACCCCTGGAGGCAATGCTATGCCGAGCATCTGTTAGGTGCACAGAATTAAGTGCCTGCTCATCAGGATGAGGGACACTGATTTATCCCTCCAGAAGGGAGCTCAACTTTTCCTCCAGCTTCCTTTAATGAAGCCTCATCCTTCCTTCAGGCTCATGCAATGAGTAACTTCTGGTAAGTAAATGTTCTGGAAAGCTAAAAACAAATCTTTTTTGATTTTACTGTGTGTGTGTGTGTGTGTGTGTGTGTGTGTGTGTGTGTGTGTGTGTGTGTGTGTGTGTGTGTGTGTGTTTTAATCTGTCAAATTTTTCCTAACACACAAAATTATAATACTATGCTCAAGAGAGGGCATCACATCACTGTTTTATCAAAATGAGCACTGGGATGATGCAGGTTAATTTGCCTTTACTAGAGCTGTGTATGTGTAGGAGTTTGTATTCATTAATGGCTGCCTTTGCATCCAGAAAGCATCCATCCATAAGTGCCCATGAGCAAGACAACACTACTGCTCCTGCCCACCCATCATGGCTGCAAACACATGGCTACTTGTGACCTTCACGCTTTTCACCCTTCTAATGTCTCTTTCATATATTTTATTGCTCCTCCTAGACTGTAAGTTCTTAAAAGTGTTTTTGTATACATTTTGGTATAATTTTTAGATGCTAATAGAACAGATGGTCTTTAAATTTTTTGACAGTCCTCAAGTAAAGCTGATGCTGCAGAAAAATGAATTACTCCCTAATTATTAAAGGCTCACTGTCATGGGTCACAGGATAAAGAGTGACCACTCTTCAGAATCAAGAGATTACAAAAGGGGAAATGAACAGGTTACAATCTTAGACTACCAATGATATGAATCAAATATTTAATTATATGGACAGATAAAAAGAGTGTAATGGAATGGGGGAGAAGTTTCAATGGATAAAGCACATGTTGTGAAAATATTAGGACCTGAGTGTGACTCCTCAGAACCCAAGGAAACCAGGCAGGGTAGCTGGCTTCTGTAATTCTAGCACTGCTATGGTGAGGTGGTGTAGAGTCAAGAGTCAGCCAGCTTGGTCTACAAGCAGCAACCAAGAGCCTCTGCCCTCTGATCTTTAGTCAGGGTTTTGCAGTAATGAAACACTATAATCAAAAAGCAAGCTAGGGAGGATTTATGTATCTTATACTTTCACATTGTTGTTCATCAATGAAGGAAGTCAGGACAGGAACTCAAACAGGGCAGGAGCCTGGAGGCAGGAGCTGATGCTGAGGTCATGGAGGAGTGCAGCTTACTGGCTTGCTCAGCCTGCTTTTTTTTGTTGTTTTTCAAATGATGAATATTTCTTTTACTATTTTCTTTTTACAATTTATTCTATGTGTCTTTTGCATCATGTATCTTTTCATTTAAATTAGAAACAAGTTTCTTTTACATGTCAATTTCAGTTCCTTCTCCCTCCCCTTCTCCCCTGCCTCCCCCCAACACCCTATCCCATTCCCTTTCTATTGCCCAGGGAGGATGAGGCTTTCCATGGGGGGAATCTTTAAAGTCTGTCATATCATTTGGAGCAGGGCCTAGGCCCTCCCCATGTGTCTAGGCTGAGAGAGTATTCCTCTGTGTGAATTGGGCTCCCAAAGTCCATTTGTGTACTAGGGATAAATACTGATCCTCTACTAGAGGCCCCATAGATTAACCAGACCTCCAAACTGATGTCATCATTCAGGGGGTCTGGAACAGTCCTATGCTCGTTTCCCAGCTCAGTCTGGGGTCCATGAGCTCCCCCTTGTTCAGGTCAGCTCCTTCTGTGGGTTTCTCCAGCCTGGTCTTGACCCCTTTGTTCACCACTCCTCCCTCTCTGCAACTAGATTCCAGAGTTCAGCTCAGTGTTTAGCTGTGGGTGTCTGCTTCTGCTTCCATCAGCTACTAGATGAAGGCTCTAGGATAGCATATAAGGTAGTCATCAATCTCATTATCAAAGAAGGGCTTTTAAGGTGGTATCTCTACTATTGCTTAGTTGGAGTCAATCTTGTAAATCTCTGGACATTTCCCTAGTGCCAGATTCTTCTCTAAACCTATAATAGCTCCCTCTATATTATGGTATCTCTTTTCTTGCTCTCCTCTCTTCTTCCCCTGACTCAATCTTCCTGCTCTCTCCTGTCCTCCTCTCCCCTCCTCTTCTCCCTTTCTCTTTCTTCTAGCTCTCTCTCCTGCCCCCATGCTCCCAGTTAGCTCAGGAGAGCTTGTCCCTTTCCCCTTTTCCGGGGGACCATGTATGTCTTTCTTAGGGTCCTCCTTGTTTCCTAGCTTCTCTGCGTTGTATATTGTAGGCTGCTATTCCTTTGCTCTAGGTCTAAAATCCATGTATGAGTGAGTACATACCATTTTTGTCTTTTTGTGACTGGGTTACCTCATTCAGCACATCATGTATCTTGATCCCATTCATTTCCCCTTCCCTTTGTATCTGCCCTCTGCCCTGGCACCCCCCCCCCCATAAAACAAAATTAGAGAAAAAAAGGAAAAAAGTTTGAAAAAAGAAAAAAATTAAAAATCTCATCATAGAAGCTGCAGTGTGACACAGTGAGTCATGTCACAAACCCCTTTATCTATATATCTTTATTTGCAAGTGTTCATTGCAAAGAGTCATAAGTCTGGTTTGAGGCTTCTAGTTTCTACACGATCAATGCTGGGTCCTCACTAGCACTCTTCCTGGATATCCTGCAGCTTTGGGTCTGCCAGTCAGGGTCCTTCACATGCTCCAGCAGGCCATAATGGGGTGGATGGCGGGGTGGGCCAAGTCATAACCGTGGGTCTGGGCCTGGGCAGCTGTAGGGTTGGTCAAACAGATGAGAAATGGGTACAGCTGTCCCATATGTACAACTTTAAGGCTGGCTCACCCATAC